TCTCTCTCTCTCTCTCTCTCTCTCTCTCTCTCTCTCTCTCTCTCTCTCTCTTTTCCCCTCTCTCTGTCCCTTGTTCCCACTGTCTCCTTGATTATTCTTCTCACACAACCTCTACACGATTTTAGAAATGAACTTTACGAAACATTTCTTCACTACACTCAGGTGGGAATGAGTACCCGGCTATAGACTGCGAATTAACGTGTCCGGTTGTTCTTTTGCGTTTCGGATGCTTGTTTACACTGTCTGTTGGCTTCCAAGGAAGCCAAAATGCATGTACGTGTACTAGGGTCTGCCTGGGTAATAATACAGTAGCTGCACAGTGCACAGAGTAGGCAGTAAAGCATGGATACGAGCAAAATAAAAAGCACTCATCATCATTATCAACATCATCATCATTGTAAACAGCAAGGAATAAAAAAGGATTTAGATTTGTAACATTTCCAAATTTTATAAAGGTTCAACGTTTCGCCCGATAAAGGGCTTCATCAGGAACATACACAAAATTATGATCATCATTATCACCATCATCATCAATGCTTAAAAAGTAGAGACCCTAGGGGGAGTTTTGATTGATATTCAATCAGTAAATAATGTATATTTAAAAAAAAAATTATTTACGAAACAGGTTAAACATTTTGCCACGTGGCTTCATCAAACACAACTGTGAGTAAAACTAATTATTATGTAACGTTGTAGAATATTTATCAAGGAAATGGGCTTTTCATTCATCACCATCATCATCAACATCATTCAGTTTAATGATGATGATGATGATGATGATGATGATGTTGATGGTGAAAAACCACCTACCAGCCTGGGAAAAGTGTTCGTGAGAGTGGTGAGGTAGACAGTGGAGTGAGACACCCAGTTCCTCCCGTCATATGTCTTGTAGTGGTCAAGCCAATGCTGAGGAAAAAAGGATAAAAATAGAAACTAATACTTATGTAAGACTATATTTTCTTTGATGAAACGGACATTTACATTGTATAATAAGAAAATGTGATAATTTCTCTGATAAAACGGACTTTTATTATCAGAAAAAAATGATCGTTTCTTTGATGAAACAAACATTTATAATCACCAAAAAATGTGGATTTTTTTGTTGGAAGAAACGGACATTAATAATAACAAAAAGTGAGATTTGTTTTATGAAACGAACATTCATAATCACAAAAACTGATGAGTTCTTTAATGAAACGGACAATTATAATCATAAAAACAGATAATTTTTATGATGAAACGGACATTAATAATTTTTAAAAAGTGATAATTCCTTTGATAAAACGGACATTTATTATCTGAAAAAGTGATAATTTCTCTGATCTAACGAACATTTATTTTCTCTAAAGGGATACTGCCTTTGATGAAACGAACATTTATAATCACAAAAGGGATCATTTCTCTGATGAAAACGAAAGCGATATCACTCAAAATCGACAATTTCTCTGATGCCCTGAATGTTTCTCGGGAAGCCGAGAATGTTTCTGAGTGTTCCCGTGTCTGTCTGCTGGGGAATTAATAGTTGTAAAGCGCATGGACCATGGTGTAGGTCGGGCGTGGGTGCGCTATATAAATGCAATTATTATTATGGTTACTTTCAGGTTACTTTAACGATGGGATAATAATAATTTTAATGATGGAGTTAAGATAATAAGACACGAAACAAACAGTGCAACGATCGATGGTAACGATGATGATGATGATGATGATGATGATGATGATGATGATGATGATGATGATGATTGTTTTGTGGAAGAAATCTTCGAGGGAGAGCGAGGCTCTTTTTCGACTCTATTGTCATTATACTCATAGGCACTTCCACTAGTCCAAATAACTCCTTTCGAAATGCCATTGTTCGTTATGATGGAGATGATGAGGATGATGATATTTATGATGGTGAAGATGATGATGATGTGGCGGCAACAACAATCCATTTGAATAATGAATTGACTAAACGTAAAAAAACAACTTATTATAATACCATTATTACATGTATCTGTATATTGTAAAATATAGTATAGCAACAATTTGCTGTTGTTGAAGATGATGTTGATGATGATGATAATGAGGATGATGATGATGATGATGATGATGATGATGATGATGATGATGATGATGATGATGATGATGATGATGATGATGATGATAACATTATCAATTTGTTTTTTACCACATACCGTCAAAAGCGAGTGATTTGCCTCTGCCAACATCAAAGCGTTTGACATCGTCGGAAAATTGCCCTCAAGCCCAGCGGCAAAACTGGTGGCTCGAAAAATGTCAATAGGCTTTAAGATCAACGAGTCTGTGTCCAGATATATCCCACCAAAATCTGAAAAAAAGAAAAGTAGACAAACTTTCTATTATATTATGATAAAATAATTAACATAACTATATTTTTCTTTGCTCTCTCTATCCCTGCCTATCTGTCTCGATCTATCTAACTCTGTCTCTGTCTCTGCCTATGTCACTGTCCGTCTCTGTCTCTCTCTGTCTGTCTCTCTGTCTGTCTGTCTGTCTGTCTGTCTGTCTGTCTGTCTGTCTGTCTGTCTCTTTCTCCCTCACACACACACACACACACACACACACACACACACACACACACACACACAAACACACACACACAAAATGAAATCTTCGTGTCTCATCCCCCGTCCAAGAATTTTTATTTCGCCCAGTGCAACATCCTTAAACACGAAATCAGCTTAACATAAAACAAAGTATGTGGTCCTGTAAACTTCGTGTTATAAACATTTCATTGGTTCGAATTGTAAAAAAAACCCATTTAATTTGCATTTAGCATATCACCACTCGAGAACAACCCTTATGCGCCTTCCACTATATTGAAATATTATTTAAAAAACCAACAATAATAAAATATTATAATACACCTGTTTATCATTTATGGGTGGTTGGCAGGTGTTATTGTGTTGTTTTCTCCTTCATTTCTATCAAATATCTATAAGGGACTATCGGGACTATCGGCACTGAGTCCTGCCTGCATTTCATAGAAAGACAGGATAAAATGGTTTGGCCACCTGTTACGCATGTCACCTGACCAGCCAGCCTTGAGAGCTAAAAACACCCAGCACTCAGGCTATACAGGAAGAGGAAGGCCACGCAAAAGGTGGATCGAGGGTGTCAAGGAAAGCCTAGGAAAACATAACATCACAACTGAAAGAGCTGCGGAGCTGGCCTACCATAGAAAACTGCATCTCCCTTCGACGCTTCAGGGCAACAGAGGATGAAAAAGTGAAAAGTAAAGTAAGTATCTATAAGGGTAAGGGAGGGGGGAGGGGGTCACGTCGTCTGAGGTTACTGTGTTCGCCTCTCATTCAATAGGTCCTGAGTTCGAAACCCGACAGCGGTGGTAAATTTGTTCTCTAAAATATTCTACTTTCTCTTCTTTTCCTGCTTTCATATCATGTTCTGTCATGCTTTCGACTCCACTTTCTGCCCCCTCCCCCCCATCCTACCCTCAGTTCCTGTCTCCTTTTACTGCAACTCCTGACTCCTTGCTGTTGTCTTTCAGCCACACCCCTAATCTAAAGGTAGGTAAGATCTAAAAGGTCCTGTGTACAAGATGCGAACATTAAAGATAGCTCCTGATAAGAGTAGGCTCCAACGGCCACCTGGGCCAAACTGAAAATTAATTCCTACCAAAATGAAAACGATAACTGCTCTCCGCGCGCTCATATGGCCATATAAAAATGCCATAAGCGAGTGCCGTTAAACATTCAAAAACAAAACGAAAACATGTATCGTTCTTATCGCCCTCCTTCTTTTTATGTTTGTCACTCTTTATTACGCGGGTGGTTGTAGGACGCCACTCGTAGATCCTACTTCTTTATTTTCCCTCTGTTCTTTCCTTCTGTCTGCTTGTCTTACTTTTCCCAGCACTTAATGGCTGTCGATATACTTTCCATTACTTAAACAAACCAAAAAAAACCTCTCTTGTAACACCTCTAATCTTCGGCACTTATATGACTTAATTGTGCTTCAAGTGTCATAACACACTTACAAAGTGGCGTCAGCTGTCTAGTGGTTAGGCTACCTGATTCGTAATCGTGAGGTTACGGGGTTCGGGGGTTCAGATGTTTGAACCTCACCTCCGTCCGACGGTGTGTCTTTGTGAAAAACGCTTTACACAAAATTCCCATTTGGCTCGAAACTTTCTGAGATGGACGGTAATATAGGAGGTCCCGCCTGTTAAATAACCCCAAAGTGTTTATAGAGGCGTTAAACCAATACCATTTCACAATGTTCACATTTACTAAAACAGAAATATTACGATCTTAAAGGATTAAATTAAATACCTACCCCTGAGAACTTCCAGCCTGGCGATGTCAGCCCGGTTGCCCACATTGGCTATGCGAATCCCAAACATCTTAGTCCGCTGCTCTTTCTTCAGGCTCACAGCATTGGTGGTGTGAGGCAGGAACAGATCCCAGTAGAAGTTATACTTGAGGGGTGCTCCGTGTATGAGGATGAGGCACGGCTTCAGAATGGTGGAGATACTGGACAAGGAATTATAATACTCCCTAGTTTTTGTTATTGTAAGAGTTTTAAGGCACTTGCAGCACAATAAGGTAAGAACATAAGTGTCGAAGACAAGTAGAAGTGTTGCAAGAGAGTAAGAACAAACCCACAAAAAAAGAAGGGGTGGAGATAAGATCGAAAGATGTTTGATAGGAGAGAAAGAACAAACCACATCAGAGATCCCACCAATCGCTCGCAATAATTTCCCGTTTAAAAAAAAGGAAGAAATAATGCACAATTTAAGAAAAAAAACCCAGAAGAAGACAATAAATGGCAGAGGGAATATAGCAAGAAAATAAATATACAAATAAATAAATAAACAAATAAATAAAAAATCGAAGCAGCATTACTCCTCACCCAGTGGGTGGATTTTCAGTAAGCCTCAGCCAAGTTTTTAAACGCAGGAAAGGGAAGGGGCATTACAGTGTGATCTATTATGAAATCAAAGGTTGTTGTTTTTTTGGGGGGGGGTTCTTTTTTTTTTGGGGGGGGGGGGGTAAATATCACGTATCCTTGTCTTCCTGCTGAAATGTTGTGTCCCACGTACTGAGTGTTGGACATGGTAGAGTTGGCCGAAACAATTTTTGCTTCCTGTCCAAAATGAGTTAAATCGTGTCAATCAGGGCGCAAAACAGTTTGATTGTTATTACCGCACATCAAAGACACACAGAGTCCGTGGTTTAGCAATTGGATACGTTGACGTCGCACCAAGTATTCATGAATTCGATTCCCGTGAGTGGAGAGTTCTAATTCTCTAATATCAGGGTTTTTATGCTGAGCTGTTGTTTCATATCCAGTCCAGTAGAGCCCTCATAGGCAGGGCTTTGCCTGCAAAATGATCTAAACGGTGTCGGATTTTGGGTAAGGGTTGAGGAGGGGGATCGGACTAAAACATCTACTTTTTCAAAAAATTATCAAAACAGGGCACACAAAAAGAACAATTCCAAGGGGCAGAAACATGACAAGATGCTCTCTCATACCTATAAAACGGCACTGCGGTGCGCATGTCTAGCTGCGCATTCCCAAACCAGATGAGGTGAACGATGTTGGGAATCCGGTAACTGTCGTAGCAGTTCTGCTGAATGTAGCGCTGTAGACAGCGAACCTCCGCGTCCGTGTTGAAACTCTGAAGAGGACTCCTCTTGGGAACCTGCTGCAGCTCGCTATACGCATTGCCATCCGCGTCATCACACCAAATACGTATTTGTTCTCTCGTTCCGTCGCTTAAATTGGATGCTCGAGAATTGGGGAATGGCTTGGAGCAGGAAAAGTAGGGAGGGTTGGTGAAATTATGGGTAGGCCCGTCTTTTTCAGGGGGTTGACAGTCGAGGTTTGTTTTGTATATGCCTCTGAGATATGGCACAAAAGCGGTGTGGTATGGATCGTCGAGTACTCTAGGGTTAGACGCCCATGTCTTGTGTTGATAAGAAACTCGACCATTCTTCATTATGAGGTCTGGAAAAAAAAAACAACCACGAAATAAAACACAAATAACAAATGAATAGAAACAATAAGAACTTGATGCTAATAAATTGGGTCAAGACATGGTGACAGAATAGGGATACCTTCATAAATGTAGCAGCAGCAGCAGCAATAGTAATAGTAGTAGTAGTAGTAGTAGTAGTAGTAGTAGTAGTAGTAGTAGTAGTAGTA